ATACATACATACATACATACATACATACATACATACATACATACATAAAAAAGTAAGTCTTTAAAAAATAAACCCAGGGAACCCAGCAGTTGTGTTCGCTGTGTTGGGGGTGCTGGTCCCTTCATGGTTTGATTATGGGGCTACAGTATCCACACTCAAGGGACCGGAGCTCAGTAGGACACAGCTCTCAGGTTCCCCTTGAGGTCTGAGGGCTCACTGTGTATGTTCCAGAGTCTCCCCCGCAGCCCCCCGCTGATGATGGATCTGAGGAACCAGGGTCAGAGACCTCCGAGGCTAAGAGCACTCCAACTGCTGAAGGTGGGGCCTCCCTCCTCCCACGGCTTCCTTCAGCCTGTGCTTACCTTGCTTTGAGCTACCCCTGCACCCTCCCGGCTGCGCTAGCTGCTTCCTGTTTTTCCGGCTGAGATGCGCTTGCGCAGTGAGTGCTTTGCAGGGCAGTGGGAGCTGGGCCCTGCTTCTATGCCTGGCTCAACAGCGCGCGCCTTGAGCATCGTCATCCTGTGTGCGCTCTGGATGTTCCGTACTTGGAAAAGCTTTGCTGTGCGGCACGGCGGGGCACACACACAGCTCAGCAGCGTTCCCATCCTGAATCCATTACCTTCCATGACCCCCCTCAGAAGCCCCTACGTTACTTTTTTCTCAGAGATCCACCAAAGCCCAGAATGCTCATTTGGCTGAGGAGCGGGGCAGGTCCGGCATCTCCCTGCTCGTGTGTTAGGAATGGTTTTGGTGTGTCATCGTCATTTAGGAATGGTTTGGGTGTGCCATCGTCATTTCTTGGGCTCTGAACTTAGGGCATGGAGAGTGTTTCTCGTCTCTTCTCACCTGTCCGCTCTAGATTATGTGGTGTCTGGGTTGTTGTGAAGCTCCTTGTCTTTTTCCTGAAAAGCTCCCAGGTTGTCTCTCTTGCTTCGCATGTGGATCAGTCAAGACTACCGCATTTGGGCTGCAGGAACCCAAAAGCCCTACCGACTTGAAGAGGCTTATCATAAGATGTCCACACATGGGCTCAGCTCCCCAGTGTCCTTTATGTGCACCTGTCTCCATCTTCTGTCATCCTAAGTGGTTGGACTGTTGCTTCATAGTTGAAAGATGGCTGCCGTGTTCCCAAACACCGTATCTGCCTTGGAACCAAGGACCGAAGCTGGTGAGGTGGCTCAGAGGATAAAAGTACTTACCATGCAAGCCTGGTGACCTGAGTTCAATCCCTGGAACCGACTCCACAAAGTTGTCCCTTAAGTGTCCACACATTGTCATGACATGTGCCCACATAGGCATGTTACAAACAGTGAATGAAAGCCAGGCGGTGGTAGCACACGCCTGTAATCCCAGCCCTCGGTGGAGCACACAGGCAGGTGGATTGTTGAGTTTGAGGCCAGCCTGGTCTACAAGCCAGGGCTGCACAGAGAAACCCTGTCTCAAACAAACAGAATATTGTTGTTGTTGTTATTATTATTATTATTATTATTATTAAATGAAATTTAAAAAAAAAAACCAATGCAAAACCAAGTAACCAAAAGGACCCTGAAGCCAAATGTGTTGCCAGAATTAAGAAACGGACAGTTTCCTGTAAGTTCCACCTGGCAGTTTTCACTTTCATTCATTGGCCAAAACTGGGTCTCTGGCCACCCTGGGCTGCAAGGCTGGGGATGTTGGGCATCACTTTTCAACCCGCTGAGCAGAAGAAGTCAAGGAGAAAGGACATTGAGAATAGCTTCTAACAAACCGTTTATAACATCTGTCCTTCCATCTCTCCACGGAGGCTGGAACTTCCCCTCCGAGCCCTTTCTCCAGCCTTACCCACTGCTCGGGAGCTCTGTCACTGAAGGAGAACTTGGCCTCCACACCTTCCCTAGCCCCCCCCCCCCCCCCCCCCCCCCCCCCTCCGGCATCTGCCTTTGGATAAATCAAGAACATGGCAGTTCAGCTCCTGCCAATTGCTTGGCATGCGGGCTCACCCTGGAGGATACAGGTGGCATGGCCCCTTAGCCGAGTGAGAGCATCCTGGCCAGATTTCCTTTGCCCTTCGGAAAACCAATGATGCAAGACGCTTCCTGCTCATCCTGTTGGAACAGTTCTGCAAGCTGTCTGCCACCCTGAGAAAGCCCTGAAACTGGATGCCAGACTCGAGGCTGGCTTCCCAAACCCTCAGTCACCGTTGACCTGGAAGATGCTCCCACTCACGCAGCCTGGACCTGCACATGCTTGCCAACCCCCCACCCCCCACCCCCGTGTCCCACTCTCACCCTCAGGGAGGGAGGGAGCTGGGGCTGAGCTTCAGTTTTTATCTGTTTTAGCTGTTTTATCTGCACCAGAGAAGATCATAATGAAAATGGCCTTTGTGGACTAAGCTGTGTGGAATTCTGGGAATCTCTTAGAACTGGCCACTCCTTGGGTGTGCCTGGCATACTTGGTGGAGAGGCGGAGGACCTCTGAGCTAAAAGCATTGCCTTGAAAAGATGCTGCCCCCGGCTCCTGTGATTCCTTATCTCTTTTCTCAAGACTGGATCTGGCCTGGTTGTTGCCACAATAAGGAACTCTGTGCCTTTTAATTGGGTGTTAGGAGGTTGGGGGCGGGGAGTGAGAACTGGTCGACGTTTTAAAGGCCACCTAGAGATGGCACTCCTGTTCCGTAAATGCGGAAACAAAGGCTCAGCTGTGACTGAGTGCTTACTCAAAGCCTTACAGAAAAATCTGAAGGCTCAGTCTGCTTCTGGGCTTCCTCACACTGCTTGAGTCCCAGCCAGGGACCCTTGTATCGCTGCAAGGATCACACAGTTGCCTTCAGGATTTCATCTGTTCTCTTTAGAATCCCCAGGGATCAAGCTGTATCCGTTGTAGTACTTACATGAGCCCTCTGGGCTTTCCAGACAGGTGTCTTGGCATCTCACTTCTTGGAGAGATGGACAGGAGGACTGTGTACCACCCCCACCCCCACCCCGCTTCGAGCTGGCTAATATTTTTTTTTTAGGCTTTATCTTATATGCTCTATCTGCATGTACACCTTCTGTGAGCCACCATGTGGGTGCTGGGGATTGAACTCAAGACCCCTGGAAGAGCAGCCAGTGCTCCTAACCGCTGAGCCACCTCTCCAGCTCTTGAGGCGGCTTTTCTTGCATGTGGCTGGCAGGCCCCCTCCCTGCACCGCCCCAGTGCAAGCAGAAGGGTGACTTTTGGTGGTTTCCAGACGTGACCGCGCCCCTAGTGGAAGAGAAAGCTCCCGACAAGCAGGCCGCTGCCCAGCCCCACACGGAGATCCCAGAAGGAACCACAGGTGAGGGTAACCCCCAAGAGCCCCAAGGCCGCCAGGGCCCAGCTCACCTGCCTTGGACAGGTCATCCTCATAACCTTTGACAGAGCTGAGTAAATGACTCTGGCTTCTGGGGATCTTGGCTCCCCAGCCTTCCCTGGCTGCCTTGGAGTCTTAACTGCTTCCCACAGTAAGGTCAGTCCTCAGCCAACATGTCAAGTGGAAAGGTTCTCACGGGGGTTTCCAGGGGAAAGAGGGGATTGAACGCTGCCTTCCTCACACTTTCTCCAGGTCCAACTGCAGCAAGTACAGGTCACCCTTAGGAAACAGTTTGCCCCCAGGAGCGCCCAGCATGCTGCAGTGACTACGTACGTAACTGGATCCCTTTGAAGGCCTAACGGGATGGTCCTGGAGTTCAGAAGGGTGACCTCACTCACGCCCATCTCCAGGGCTGTGCTGCCTTCCAGCCCTGTCTCTGTAGACTGCTCCACCCCTGTGGCTGATGGGGAATTGGTTCAGAAGGCACCCCAGCAGAAAGAGCACTGGGCTTGGGATGCTCAGTTCTTTATAAGTTATCCTGTCCAGGCCCTAGGCAAGAGTTATCACAGCCCAGGGCCCCTGATACCCTTCCCCTGGTGTCCTCTCCCGGGGGCTCAGGGAGAGTTCTAACAGTTAGTGTGACTGGCCTGAGGGGCCCAGTTACCTACCAGGAGCCGCCTAATCACTGTGGTGGTGGAGAGGAGAGCGCCCTTTCCTGAAGGCGAGCTCCTGCAACTGTGCTAGCTACTTACTCCTTTGGTAACCAAATGTCTGACTGACAAAGGAGACCTGAGGAAGAAGGGTCTGATAGGGCTCGTGGCTTGAGGGGATGGAGTCCATGTGACAGGGAAGGCACAGTGGCGGTGACAGGTCACCCTGTGTGTGCAGCCAGGAAGCAGACAGCGATGAATGATGAACGCTGGTGTTCAGCTGGCTTTCTCCTTTTTCCCCAGGACCTCAGCCCATGGGATGGCACTGTCCATATTCAGGGTAGGACTTCCCTCCTCAGTCAAATCTTTCTGGGGATACCCTCAAGGACACACCCAGAGCTGTGTCTCCTCCTAGGTGGTTCCAACTCCAGCAAGGTGACGGTGAAGGGCCAGCATCCTAGCAACCTCTGGTGAGCTTTCTCTCACACATTCACCGAGAATGCTCATTGTGGGGCCATCCCGTCTTCTAAAATGTGTTTCCGCTCCGCAAAGTGATTGACTGGCAGTGAGGTCTTCTGAGGCAGGTGGGGTAGATGCTCTTAAAGCTTGGCCCGGCCTCAGCCTTGAGCATGAAGGAAGCTTAAAGGCCACAGAACACCTTACAGGGTAAGGTCGTGGGTGGCATATTTTTGTTTGTTTGCTTTTGTTTTTTGTTTTGTTTTGGTTTTGGTTTGGTTTTGTCTCCGGCTATCCCTTCAACGTTTTGTCATTGAAGAAGTTTGTCCTCTATCTGGGATGAAAACTCTAGACTTTCTCGCCTCTCCTGGGTAGTCAGAAACGCTTTATAGTCTTCACGGTCAGAGAACAGCCTGCAAAGGCTGGGACATAGCTCCATTGGTGGAATGCCTGGCTAAGCGCACATGAATACACGCACATCAGAAGGGCCAGTCTGGCCCACAACCTCTAAGCCTGCTCTGGCCCTGCTCTGGGCTAGTGTGAGGCAAGAGCGTAGGAGGCGGCAGTGGCTGCTTCCCATGCTCTGCAGGGACTTAGAGGCTAACCCTTCTCTCATGGAGACTGTATGAGCCAGCGTCTCCTAAGTGTCCAGGTACCTGGCAGAGACGAGTCAAGGAGAAAAGCCTTGGGCAGAGCATTATGGCAGCTAGCTGTGTGTGGCGGAGGGAACACTTCACTTCTTGGTGGACAGGGAGCCGAGGAGAGGGGTGTGACATTGGGTGTGCTTTCTCCCTCATCCGCTTTTGTTCATTACTGTCCCCACCCGCAGCCCACGGGATGGTGCCAAGGTAGGTCCTCCCTTCAGCTAAACCTGTCTATATATACACACTGTCGGACATAGCCACCTGTACCTCAACAGTCCCCTAGGTGATTCTAAGTCTTGCCACCAGAGAGACCATTCTTCATTCCTTCCACTTTCCAGCTCCTATCTCCTGCTTCCATAAAGATGGGTTCCTCTGAGCTGGATTTCTGGGGGATGTGTCATCCCTTCTCTCAGGGACCTAACCACAGCATCACCTCTGTGGAGGGTGACTCATTCCCACTGGCGGCCCATTAGGCATGATCTGAGACGCCCCAATGCCATCTCTGACCCATGCCCACAGTTCCACGGAGAAAGTGTCAGCAACCTTGGCTGCACAGCCTGCTAGCAGGCTATTGCAATGGGCCCTTGCCCAGCCACCGTAGCAGGGCCAGCCCTTCCCCTGTCCTGTTGTGTTCCCAGGCAGGGCCCTGACTGCAGTCCACGAGATCCCAAGCCAGAGGGAACAGAAGGCAAGTGTCTGTCTCTAGGTGGTGCATCGGAGACCCTGGGGCCAGGCTAGGCATGCCAGCACACCTGTTATCTATCCTAGCACCCTGGCTAAGGAGGGAGGAGCAAAAGTTCAAGGCCTGTCTGGGGTACACAGTAGGTACAAGGCCAGTTTGGGCTATACAGCAGGACTCTATGGAGCCATTCACTTCTTGGCGGGTTTAGAGTTGAGCAGGTTTCCAGCTGTTGGTGGAGTTGGTGCCTCACCTTGTACTCTTGAATACATGTTTGCTGCTTCTTGGTACTCAGTAAAGCTGCTCAAGAATGCCTGTGACTTTCCACTCTGGGAGGCCTGAGAGGAGGCCTGCTCCCTAGAGAGCAGGGAACCTTGTGCCTCCCTGAAAATGCTCCCCCAGGAACATTTAAAAGCTGGTAGTGCTAGGACACCAACTCCTGCAGTGCCTTCTGTCCTGCCCCTTGAGATTTTTTTATTTGCTCCTCCCCCGTGCTGAGCTCAGAGATGTTAGCACCCCCTGCCATTTCTGCCTCCTCCCAGGGGCAGGACAGCACAATACTGCCCTGGCATGGGGAAATGAATTCATTCCCCCAGTGCCAGCACAGTAATGGAGTCCCGGCATGCCTCCAGCTAAGGACTCCGGGACTGCTTAGCTGGATTTGCCATCGCTCCGAGTCTGTCTTCCATTTCCTTAACCTTGCTCAGACCAAATCCACACTTGGACTTCGCCTTCCGACAGTTGACACAAAGTGTGACCAGCGCTGTGTTATCTGACAAGGAACTGTCACCAAAAGACCCAGCACAGAGGAGGACCTAGATGTGTCTGAACTGATAACCCGGTGGGTGGAGAGCTTCCAAGTTCACTGGCACCTCCCTGTGGCCCCACCCTCACTCAGCCATCTGGCTGTGTGTAACTATGCCGTGACTCAGGCTCTCTCCTTGGGCTGCTCTCCGGGGCAAGTGTGGCAAGTGTGCTGGCTTGCAGTCTTATGCTCAGAGTCTGAGCACCTCTGCCTAGAGACGAGGCTGGTGGCCCAGCAGGCACTGTGAGAACATTTCTGGAAGGCGTCGGCCTCTGGTTTGCCTCAAGGCCTTGAGGTCAGCGTGGGCCAGCTTGCTGTGCCATCCCATAGCTGTACCCTGATTCTCCTCCTTCTTGAGATCAGTGCTTACTGACGTGGGTCCCTGCTCATGAGGCTGGGAGCTTTCTCGGCCTTCTTTGTTTGGGGTGACTGTAGGTTCCTCAAATAGAACACAAAGACCTCCCCCCACCCCACTGGCCCCGCTGGCCTCCCTCCAGCAGGGTAGTGCTGGTTTCAGGTGGAATGTGTGAGGGGTTTAGAGGGAAGAAACTTAACAGCCCATGGTACCTCCTTCCCTCTGTTCTCCATACCTTCACTATCCTCCTACGAGACAAACCCACCTCATCTCTTTGAGGTTCCCAATGAGGAAATAGAGACCCAGAAAGGCAGGGCAGGTGGCAGCTGGCACCTGGGTCTGCTCCAGCAAGCACAGTCTCTCCCTGACCCCCTGTCCCCCTGAAGCGCTGGCCAGAACGGGCAGTGCCACCGTCCCTGGCATGTTTGTGGGGCCAGGTCAAGGCAGCAGGACCCTGGACACCCCTGTGGAAAAGCTTTTTTCCTCCTAGGTCGCAGTGACCTGGAAGGTGTGAGGGTTTTGTTTAGGCACATCTCACCACTGTCCCCAGCCACCAGCCATGGCCTTTGCAGAGATGCCGAGCACAGCAGCTGGCCCTGCAGGATGCAGTTCCTGCACGTTTCGTGAGAGAAGAGCAAGGTACAGAGAGCACAGGTTACAGCAAAAAGTAATGGTCTCTCTCCTGCCCTCTCCCTTTGCTGCCTCGGACCAGCTGAAGAAGCCGGTATCGGAGACACCCCGAACCTGGAGGACGAAGCCGCCGCCGGGCATGTGACTCAAGGTCAGTGGCCCTGATGGCCTATAGGACTCAGAGATGGGGGGGAGGGGAGCACTCAGTGGGCTGCACCTTGTATCTTAGTCCTGGGTCCTAACGTACAAGCCCAGGAGAGCTGAGGGGGTGCCTTTGTCAAAGATGGGCTCTGTAGACACAGAGTTTCCCAATACCGTTCTGATGCCTTCCTGGGGAAGGGGGGGCGGTCCTGAGGGAAACAGGCCTTGCCTAGCCTGAGGATGAGCACTGGGTAACATTCCCACAGGGTGCCCTCTGGCCTGTCGATCACCTCACCACCAAACTTGTCCATATGAGCCTTCTTCCCTGCAGTCTTCACACCTCATTATAATTTTCTTCTCGGGAACCAAATTGCCCGGTTCGAGACGAGTAGTTTCCTGCTGCTGTGTGCCACAGATACAGTTTTTGAAATGAATTGTTAAAGCTTTAGAGAGTCTTAGTTTTAGGAAACGGAGACCTCTGACATAGATAAGGCACGAGCTGTCTTGGTTTTCTGTCTTTTTTTTTTTCTTTCCTGGATAAATGAGCTTGAGGGTGTTCTGTTTGACAGAGAGGCTTCCGGGTGGCAGAGGAGCTGGGAGGGGGTGACCCCCTTGCTGACCCCTCGCCTAGTTCTTCCCCTTTTAGGTGCCTTGGACACTAGGCTCCTGAGGAGGACTGGGGGAGACCTTTTGTCGTGGCCCCCTCCACCACTCCCACTGAATCTGTTTCCTGTTTTGTCTTGAGATAAGGTTCACTGTAGCCCAAGCTGGCTCCATTCATATCCAAAGACCACCTTGACCTTCTGATCCTCCTGCGTCCACCTTCTGGTAGCTGAGGTGTGTGCCACCACACCCGGTTGACGTGGTGCTGGGGGTCTAATTCGGGGCTTCCTGTGTGCAGGGCAAGCGCTGGCCCCGGTCTCATATTTACTGAGTTCTTTACAGGATCCTGGGAGCTGAGCAGATGATTCTCCCAGCCCGGCTCCTCCCTCTAGGGGTTTTAATTATGCTTAGGTTTCTCACCAGTGCACAGTGCACACAGTGACGTGTTCTTGCTGTCTGTGTTTACCGTGTGTGTTTGGGGTTTGGGGCCTCATCTGCACTTGAATGGGGTCTTTGAGGATATCGCAGTGTACCAGACCCCAGGACATCCCAGCCAAAATAATTTCTAGGCAGCATTTTCTTTCCTTTTTTTTTTTTTTGGGGGGGGGTTTGTTTTTATTTGTCTGTTTTCAAGACAGGGTTTTTCTGTGTATCCCTGGCCATCCTGGAACTCCCTCTGTAGACCAGGCTGGCCTCAAACTCAGAAAAAAGCCTGCCTCTACCTCCCAAATGCACCACCACTGCCCAGCCTAGGGAACATTTTCTTGAAGGTAGTAGAGACCCAAATCTGTTGGGTGGCATCATGGCTGTCTTGGCCTCTGGCCTGTGAGCCAGCTGGTACTGGGTAGCCCAACCCTATGCTGCCTTCCTACTTTTTTGTCGCTCTTCCTGCCTGAGATAGACTAAAGACTCCAGTAAGTGTCCTGATAAGGAGCAGGAATTGGTGTGTTGTTTTTTGTTTTTTTTCCAGATGGTAGCTGGCGTATGTGGGATACATTTATTGATCAGATGCCATATGATAGGCTTGATACTGGGATCATAAATTAATCTAACTGTGAACTCAGCCTGGCATAAGGAAGGAGGTGCCAGGCTGGAGTTGGGTCCCTTGGTGGTGAGCTAGCCGCACTGAGTCACAGACAGTGGTATTGTGCGCATACTGCTTGTATGTGTCAGAGTTACACATGCATGTGAACACACACATTCTCCCTTCCCTCCCCTCATCCAGATTCCTTTTCTATATCCCCAGACCCTTTGAGATTACAGGTTTTGTCAGAGGAGACTTGGGAAGTTGTTTGGGATATTTCGTAAGATGTTCAAAAGTTCAGCGTGGCAATAAGTGTGTGGTGGCCGGTGCTGTAATCTCAACACTCGGTAAAAAGAGATCGGAGGATCAGGAGTTCAAGGTCATCCTTGGCCACATAGTGAGTCTGAGGCCAGCTTCAAGTCCAGGAGACCCTGTCACGAGCAAGCAATCAAATAGAACCAGAGGGTGCTTACTGAGGACCTCAAAATGGACGCGCCCCATCCTCAGTACACAGATACGCTTAAAAGAGGTTTTACATGACTCTCACATGACTGGCCCCGGGGGAAAAAACCCAACAATATGCTTAGACTGCTAGGTTGGCGGGCAGCCTGCTGGGTGAGCACCTAGAGCAGGGGTCCCAGTGTTCCTCCCTCACCCGAGGCAAAAGGAGGCGGCAAAGCATAGCACAGAGCTGTAAGCGTGCTGCCATTTTATGTGTAGGAATCGAAAGGTGGGTCTGTCAATAAAGGCTCCGGCCCTTCCATCATAGCTTGTGAATTTTCCAAATCTGCTGTCAAAGCAGGGTTACAGCAGGCTGGGTGATTTCTGGCACCCGCTGGTTTCATCTGCCCAGACAGAGGGGATGGGGAGCAGAGAGAGATGGGGGAAGAGACAACAGGGCCACTGTCATAACCCAGCCCAGGTAGAGCCCATGCCGGGCAGCCACAGAGATGCCAGCGGGCCCTGGCCCAGCTGAACACCGACCAGAAGGGCCCCAGAGGTCCACTGAAGCCCTCCTCTGCTGGCTATCTCCACACAGAGCCGGAGAAGGTCAAGATTTTCCCAGAAAGTTTGCTTGGCGAACCAGGGCGCGGTGAAGGCCGGGCCCCAGATTCAGGGATCTCAGACTGGACCTGCCAACCGATGCCTAGCATGTCTGGGGCTCCCCTCCTGCCACAGGGCCTCAGAGAGGCTACACGCCAACCTTCGGGGACAAGACCTGAGGACGTAGAGAGACACCACCCAGCCTCTGAGCTGCTGCAGCAAGAGCCGCCTCAGAAGGAGGGCTGGGGCAAAGACGGGCTGGGGGGCGAGGAGGGGGAGGCAGATGAAGACCTGGACCTGGATGAGTCATCCCAGGACTCCCCTCCTTCCCAGGCCTCCCTGGCCCTTGGCAGGGCAGCCCCTCAGGCTGTCTCCGGGGAGACCACCAGCAGGCCTGGGTTTCCAGGTGAGGGCGCCATCCCTCTTCCTCCTGATCTCCTTTCCAAAGTCTCCACAGAGACCCAGGCCTGGCAGCCGGAAGGGCCCGACACTGGGCCCACGGAGGAAGGGCAGGAGGCTGCCCCTGAGTTCACATTCCACGTGGAAATCAAAGCCGGCATGCCGAAGGAGCAGGATTTGGAAGGGGCCACAGTGGTGGGGGCCCCTGGAGAGGAGCAAGAGGCCCAGGGCACCTCTGTGGGAAAGGTCCCCAAAGAGGCTAGCCTTCTGGAGCCACGTGCCAAGCAGCCTGCAGCTGGCCCGCCAGGAAGGCCGGTCAGCCGGGTCCCTCAACTTAAAGGTCTGTGGTCTAAGCTCCCTCGCTCCTCCCCTGGTACCCTGTAGGCTGTGGACACTGTCATGAGCTTCTGGCCTTGACTCCCGCACCCTGAGACTCCAGGTCAAGCCACTAAACCCAGCACTGCCTGGGCCGTCACCCTTCCCCCCCCCCCCCCGCCCCCCCCCCCCAAGCCCCTGGTAGCGCGCGATCCTCTCACGCTTGCCCTCATTCTGCATGTCACCGACACCTGGCCCTGTGCTTTCCACCCTGTTTGGTTCTCCGCCCACTCGATGTATCCACTGTGACCCACCAGCCCACAGGGAGGTTGGTAGGCACACCACGTAGAGTGGGTAACAGCTTCCCTCGGTTTTGTTTGTTTGTTTGTTTGGTTGGTTGGTTGGTTGTTTTTTGAGGGCTTACGATGTATTTTGACGTTCACAGGGTCTAGAACATTCCCAGCACTCTGAAGTAGGCATAATTAGCCCCACTTCTCAGATGAGGAAACTGAGGCTCAAAGCAGTAAACTGACCTTGTGCTAGACCCCCACACAGACCCCTCCCCCGAGTAAGTAACGGATGGAGTCAAGTTGAGAATCCAGTTAGGTCCGCTCTGAACGGCAAGCACACTCTCGCTGTGGTCCCCACATTGCCTTCCGGAAGGTGCTGGAGTGCCCTTCCCCTGCAGACAGGGAGTCCTCCTGCCTCCCCCTGAGTTCTCATCAACAGGCAGCTTGTGACATTTGAAAGGTGACAGCCACACCTGTGGAGGTGGCTAACGGCCCACTAACTTCTCCCCCACCCAGCTTGCTGCAGGAATGATGAGGAAAGCATATCTCCCAGGTCTAAGGAGACATCCACCATGTCAGTCAGGGACAGGGGGGGTCCCTGTGTGCAGCCCCTTCCGGAGCCCTTTGGAGGCTGCGGGGTGGGAACAGTCTCTAGACAGGGGCATCGCTGCCTTTAAGAGTCCGGAATACTTGACCTTTGGTCCTCTGAGATGGCTTAATGGGTAAAGCCACTCGCCACCGCCACCAAACCTAATGACCTAAGTTCCCAAGACCCACATCAACAAGGACAAGCCACCACATGGGTACAGAGATCAGAGGACAACTGTGGGAGCCAGTCCCCTGTTCTCTGACCTCCATACACATGTTTTAGCATATATGTGATACACACTTGTTCGCATGTTCTTATACAATAAATAAATGTAAGAATAGACCACTTAGTATTTTAGAATTATCCACAGGGCCCAGGAACTGATGCCTCCTAAGCTCAGAGTCAAAAATCATCTTTTAGCTACTGACTAGACCCTACTCATAGAGGACACTCCAATATATGATAAATGAAAGAGCCTGTCTGGATGGTGGCACAAGCCTGCCATCTCAGCACGCCAGAGGCTGAGACAAAAGGATCACTGCAAGTTTGAGGCCAACCTGGGCTACATAATGAGTTCAAGGCTATCCTGGGCTACATATAGCAAGATCATGTTTGTTTGTGTTTTTTAAATCTGGGCATGGTGCCACTTACCTATAATCGGCACTGTACTCAGGATGGAGAAGAAGATGGGATCAGGAGTTCAAGACCAGACTCTGCTGCATAAGGCTCTGTCTCAAAACAAAAGCTAAGACTGAGGGAGGGGAAGCCTGCATCCTGTTTTAAAATCCAAGACAAAGGAGGGCAAGTGACTGCCTCCAGTGTTTTCCAAAAGTATTCTTCTATCAAATCCTGGTCCTCTAAATGTCCGTAGGTGTGTTTTGGGTACTGGTAGGGAAGATAGAGTTCCATGGCAGAGTGAATTTAGAAGTGGAAAACAAAAAACAGGCTAAGCAAAGCTCAACCATGTCCACTGTTGACGTGTCCTCTGGATTCCCCAAATGTATTTGACGGCCCCTACCATCATCTCCCAGAACAGGGCTTGTTGAGTCCTACCTACATCAGGAAATGCTGAGCTAGCAGGCTCATCTGCAGAGATGGTTAACTCCAGAGCAAGAGTTCTGTCTTGGGAGAGTTGATTAGCTACGCTGCGATACAGACACCAAGGGCGACGCAGCCGAAACTGGGCAGACGAGGTCTCAGGGACTGCTTTCACCCGTACGATTGGGAATTAGCCAGCCAGGCGGTGTTCCACTGCCGAGGAGCCCCGGGAACAGAGCTTTTGTGGTTAGTGACAGTCTGGCCTTGAGGAAATGGTGGCCTTTCCCTGAGTCAGAAATGGACTGGCACAGCCATTTGTCCCAAGCGGACACACATGGTTGACAGAGGAAGGAACGCATAAGATGCACTGAATCCTCACTGCAGTGCAGGCTCCTGGGGACCTGCTGGGGGCACCCCAGCCTCAGTGCATCCCCGGGTCCTCATGGTATCCCAGGCGATTCCTTCACAGTATAACAGGGAGACCTCCGGGCTGCAGTCAGGACTGCTCACGCTGTAAGTCCAGTCTCCATCCACCTGCAGGGAACTACATGCTAACAGTGACATGATACTGGGGATCCTCCTGTGAGCAGGATGTGACGTATTTGAAGGCCCCTTGGTAGCGGCAGGGCGCCCTCAGAACTGGGTCAGTATAGGAAGGGCTTCTTTGAAAGCAGCTGGGACTGGTGGAAGGCCCGTCTTTGTTTTCAGTTGCTGAGGGTTGCACTCCATAACAAAGACGAAGCTATCCCCACTAGGTTCATCTGTCCCAGCCGCAGGTGACCTGGAATGGGGTTTGGGATGGTCAGGATAAGATGGCCACGAAGGTGGGTCTGAGATCCTTTCCAGCCTGGGGTAGGAAAATAGAGGTAGCTTCCATTGGGCTTTGAGGCCCTAGAGGGGCAACTGGGGATCTCACAGGAAAGCAGTGAGAGAAATCCCCCCGACCCTGATCCAAGGGTCCTGCTGTAGCCCAGAGCCAGGCTGTGCTGTGGTCATCCATGGTCTTGGGGCTTTAAAACGGCCCTGCGTTCAGTGGGGTTGACGGATGCGGAGAGTGAGCTCCCCACAGCCCTGTGTCAGCGCGCACCTCTAACAGCACCTGCATGCCCCCACCCTCCGCCGGCCTGCTTCCCCCCTCTTACCAGGTTGCTCTGAGCCCTGGCCCTGTGTGCTGTGTGGTACTAACGGCGTGAGACCTCGCAGGGCTGAGGACTGAGAAAACCAGCCGGGGTTTCAGTCAGTCAAAGGAAACTCACACCTCCACCCCTGAACTCTGTGAACCTTAAGCATGGGGCATCATGAGGCTTCTCATTTTGTATTTCACCAGCTCGCGTGGCCGGTGTCAGCAAAGACAGAACGGGAACCGACGAGAAGAAAGCTAAGGTAAGTCACTGACCAGCTGGTCTCACTCGCCAAGAGGCTCTGCTTCACGCCTGTGTTTGCACTCATCTATACTGTGTGGAGAGCGTTTGTCACTAGAGCACAACTGTCACTTAAAGGCCGCTGTTTTTTACAAGGGCAGTGTTTCCGTCTTGATACCTAACACAGGAAAGGGTGGTGGATCGGCAGGTTCCTCGGTTCCTCCCCCGCCCCCCGCTCCCCGCCATTTCCTCATAGTTTAAATGAAGGTGTATAGAAAGCTTGGAGTTTGCACTCCTGAGTCTTACCACTGCAGATCTAGGCTCGGTAAACATAGAGTGTTTAACACACGCAGAATACACTGGGGGTCGGAGAGCCATGAGCAAGGGAGGAAGTGAGCTCCAGACAGAGGCAGGAAGGATTCTGGGTGAGCCCTCAAAGAGAAGAGCTGGGAGGCAAACAGGCGAGGAAACACGCTGTGGACGTACCAGAGCAGGGAACAGCCAGCTGAGAAAGGAGGAAGGGACAGAGCCGAGGCTAGGGAGACTAGGCAGGTAGCCTCGGTTTTGAGTCCTATGTGGGGCTGCCTTGGGTTCTAAAGTAGCGCCTCCTTTAAACACAATGTGGGTTGAAAAGCCTGATTCCGGGTTAGCCCCTGCCAACAAGCCCAGTAGATAAGGCAGCCTGCTCACCACGGACCGGCCTCCCAAGCCCCTTCTGTCCTCCCTTTTTTCATCTGTAGTCCCCTCCCTCTCAGGGTTATCCTAGAAAACCCTGAAGCTGTGTGTGCAGTGCTGTCCTTTCAGGGAAACCCACTACGGCCCAGACTGGATCAACTGGGCCGCTCCTGTGACTGCTGCCCAGAACATCTGGCCTGTAACTGACCGGGGCCCCAGATGTGAAGCTCCAGATGTGGATGATGGTGATAGCTAGATTCTGGTAGCAGAGGCTGAGGGCCACACCCCAAAGGGCCTGTTCTGCACTCGTTAGGGCTCCCTGCTCAGAGGGAGAGCCTCGTGTGGAGGCTTAGCCCTGCTCTACCTCTTAAAACAGGAGTGAGAGCTGCTCATCAGTCAAGATGCTCATTTGATTCCAGAGTGAGGGACAGGGAGTCCTGGCCTCATGCCTGCACGAGCATGCGTGTGTTCATCATTTGGGTGTACACACGGGTACACAGACCCTGCCCTGCACTGACTCACAGGACAGCAGGGGCCAAACCTATTACAGATCTAGGCTGGGTAGAGAAAGCTGCCAATGGAGAGGGGTCTTTCCCAGCTAGGGAGCAAGGGGATCCAGTAACACCCCCCCCCCAGCTTTTCTCCTCTGAAAGTAACCCAGAGAGTCTGTCCCTTGAGCTCTCCTCTTGGCGCTGGTGACACAGACTGAGCTCTGTCCCCTTCAGTGGGAAGTTTGAGGAACTAAGGAAACAGTGGAGTCTCTGCTCAGGATTCCAAAGCACCCCACACTGTTCTGCCCCCCACCTTTGGTCTGTTTGAGCCAGGGTTTCTTTGTGTAGCCCTGACTGTCCTGGAACTTGCTCTGTAGAGCAGGCTGGCCTCGAACTCAGAGATCTACGTGCCTCTGCATCCTGAGTGCTGGGATTAAAGGTGTGCCGCCACCCCCTGGTTGGCATCTCGATTCTTTATTTCTAAGGGTCCGGTCTCCCACCCGCACCACACCAGGGCCACACTCCCCAATCCAAGTCCCCCAAAGGCAACCGTGAGTGTCAGCCTTCAGCCCTCAGGCAACTTCTCACAGGACACGCAGCCCCACAGGCACTTACTTCCTTAGGTGGAATATGTTCTGCAGTTAACTTTGGCCAGATCAAGACTCCGGATAGCATTAAAGACTGATTTTATTTGAGTCCTTGTTTAATCAGAAAGTATGTGATATGTGCACGTGTGTGTGTCTCTGTGTGTGTGTGTGTGTGTGTGTCTGTGTGTGTGTGTGTCTGTGTGTGTGCGCGCTCTCCTACGTTCGTGTGTGCATCTGTATGTATGTGTGTGGCATCTCGTATGTCCTCGGTGACACCCGACAGAAGCTTTGGGATGACTCTGGCACAGCCCTCCTTGAAGGCTTAGGGTTTTGCTGGCATGGGTGGAGAAAGAAGGGAGCCTGCACGAGTGCTTCCTCTGAGACGGAGCAGAAAAAGGGGCTGCCTCTGACCCATGGCACACTGACCTTCTGAAAATCCTGCTGCCTTTGCCCTGGTGGTCTCCACCATTCACTTACTGAGTGAGAGGCACCTTCAAGCCAGTGTTCTCCAAGTAGGAGGCACAAGGTCCAGTCGCTAGAGAAGGGACGGACCAGAACGTCTGCCCGTGGGTGCTTTAGCATCTCTTTCAGAAGTTCTTCGCTGTGTGATTTTAACAGTGTCCACCCTGTGTCAGCTGTGTAGTGAGTGTGGAGCCGCTGGGTGACACAGTGCTGAGGGACAGGGCTCCTGTCCTTTTTTACTGGAAGGGCGGTGGAGATGGCTGCTTTGAGCTGTGACCTGCCTTATTTACGTTTAGGGGTGTTTTGTTTTTTTTTTTTTTTCCTTTCTTCTGTTTGTTTCCCTCCCCCATGCGCTGACTTTTATTTTGATTTTATTTATGTTTATGTTTAAGACATCCACACCTGCTAAAACCCTGAGCAATAGGCCCTGCCTTAGCCCCACACGCCCCACTCCTGGTAGCTCAGACCCTTTGATCAAACCCTCCAGCCCTGCCGTGTGCCCTGAGCCAGCCACCTCTCCTAAAAACGTCTCTTCTGTCACACCCCGAAATGGCAGTCCTGGAACAAAGCAGATGAAACTCAAGGTAAGGAAACCAGCTTTGGCAAGACCCAGGCTGCTGGACCATGGTGTTCAAATGCTCTCTTCCGCTAAACATTCAGGCAGTAGAGGATGGTTGAAGGGACAGGGAGGGGACTGGGGACTCAGAGCTGTGCTTATAGCCTCTGTCCTCTCACAAGAAAATCAGGGAATCCCAGTTTGAAAGCTGAAGCTCTAAGCTGAGCACGGTTCCTGATGCCTTTAACAAACCCCAACGCTGAGGAAGATTCCTGGAAGTCTGAGGCTAACTTGAGCTTGAGAGTGAGCTCCAGGCGAGCCTGGGCTACAGAGTGAGACTCTATCTTCAGAAATAAAAAAAGAAGCCAGGTGTGGTGACGCTTATAATTCCAGCACGCAGGAGTAAGAAGCAGGAAGATCGCTGCAGTTTCCTGGACAGCCAGTAATATATAGAAAGACTCTTTCTCTTAAAAATAAATAACTAAACAAACAAACAAATGAATGAATGAATGGCAGAGAAAGCCTCAGCTCCATGTAGAGGTCTATGGAAGCTGGCCACGCCTCCAGATGGGGGGCATGGCTGCCAGCTGTGCCCATTGCAACAGCTCCTTCCTCCCCCCTTCCTCCCCCCTTCCTCCAGAGTCTGTGGTTCCTGTGGTTTCTCTGTGTGGCTCATGCCATGTCTGATGGTCATGTACTGACCAGCAGACCCACAACCACTCACAGTCAGCTGATTGTGTCCGCCTCCACCTCCGGCTGCCAGCTTTCAGCCAGTGTTCATGGCCAAGGGCCCATGGCACACCTAAGAAGTCCCTGAGTCCCAGGGGCCATGGAGAGAGAAGAAAGACATGGTTTGGCTGTTTGCCTGTTCTGCCAAGGGCTGCAGCACAGGTCTTCAAGGGCCTCTGGCGAACCCAGCCTCTGTCAGTCAGCCACATCATAATTACGAATCTGAAAAAAAAAAAAAAAAAAAGGGTGTGGTTTTTCAGGGTCAGCCTACTGGTTACCCCAACCCTGACCTTGTTCCGATTAGTACTGTCATTGTATTTATACCATAGGCTAGCTCACAGTTTGTCTAAGAGGAAATGGGAACCCGGTACTTCACTTCTGAGAGAACTGTGGGGCTGCGTGCCCCACAAATTCTTAAGACTGTACAAGACTTTTCTAACATCCATCTCCAACCTTCACCTTCTTCCAGTCCAGGTGGGAGGGGGGGGTTGACCTTTCCTTGGTGACAGTCACCTTTCACCCTCATTTGGTTTACAGGGGGCTGATGGTAAAACTGGGATGAAGATCGCTACGCCTCGGGGAGCAGCCCCTCCAGGCCAGAAAGGCACAGCTAATGCCACCAGGATCCCAGCCAAGACCACGCCCAGCCCAAAGACTCCCCCGGGCTCAGGTGAGAAGTCTTAATCCAGAAGCCACTGACAATTAGCAACCCCTGGCACTGACTAACACCTTGGGGTTTGCTGAGCACATCTGTCTCCTTTTTAATCCTTTTGACAGTTTGAGGTAGATAATGGGTCCTTGCCTTTTAATCAATGAGGAAGTCTTGCTCATTTTCAAAGCATGAGGAAATTGAAATCACATGATTAGTGAGGGGCAGGGAAGGAGCATGACCCCTAATCCAGGGCTCTAAGGAGACAGCCCCAGCATGAGGTGTTTTCAGGCCTCCTGCCTCTTCAGGAGAGCAGTAGCCAGGGTGGGGCATCGTGGGAGCTCACTGCATCTCAACCTAATGCCACTGGGGCCTTAGGAACCTTCTAGTAAAAGTGAAGGCTTCTAGCTGAGCAGTGGCTGTGGTCATTACTCCAGCTTCCTGGGAATTAAAATCCAGTCGGCCTTGAGAACCTGGCCAGGCTGCAGTGGGGCTGTTTCATGTTCAGTGGAGAAAGAGAAGCCCTGGGGACCTGCTCCCAGAAGGCATTTGGATACCGTGTGACTCTGTGTTGTCTGGACCACATTTGCTCCCTGGTGGTTCCCAGGAGGGCCATGGGTCTCTGTGTCTGGCCTGGCTCTTGATATCCCTGCTCTCCTGGCCAGAGGCAGCCTCTATTGCCTGCTGCATGCATCTGCTTGGCACTGAAAAGGAGTGCTGCCTGGCATTCGGGCTGTGTTTTCACTGAGAAGCCTTGTGTCTGGTGTGTTCCTCTTACACATGCTCCTGATGATCCAGGATTATTAATGACGTGTCAAGTGGGTTTTCGCTGTGGCTCAATACTGTGCTGGCCCCAACTCACACAGTAACCTAGAGCAAGGGCTCACCTTGCTCTTCCAATCTCACCCATGGCTCCACGCGGACTGGCTGCATCTTCCTCACTGGTCCCAGCACCTGTCCCTGCTTCTGCCTCGTATGCTAGGTAGGTCAGCCAGACGCTGCCACCTGAAGCACTCCCAGAGATCCCTGTGAGCCTGATTATAATGAGGTTGTCTGTGGACTTTTTTTTTTTTTTTTCTTTTCAAGCTTCCAAGCAAATACAGAGAAAACTACCCCCTGCAGGGGCAAAATCTGAGAGAGGTAATTCTGGGTCCATTACCCTGAGTGGGTTGGGCAGACCCTCTTGGTGTGTGTTCTGCCGTCAGTCATGTTTGTCTGCAAGGCTGGGAGGACCCGCTGCTTCAACCCAGGCTCCCCAGGAGAGGCCCAGTCTCGAACTGTCAAGTGTACTTCTCCAGTGTGGTTTGCATCTGTGCACTCACCCGTGTGTGTGTGGATCTGCTGTGGGAACTAGGGCTATTTGTGGGATGGGGATCGTGTCCCTGGAGACATTTGGGGGCGCTGGAGGCTTCAACTGTCTCTAACCTAAGTTCCGATGGGAAAGCATCATCGCTGGTAGGCCGAGAGTTTTGCTGGGCCGAGTTTTATTGTTGTGTTTTAAGAAATGGCATCTTGGGTGTGGTGGTGGACACCTTTAATCCCAGCACTCATGAGGCAGAAGCAGGCGGATCTCTGTGAGTTCAAAGCCAAGCCTACAAGGCCAACCTACAAAGTGAGTCCAGGATATTCAGGGTTCTTGTTGCCCAGAGAAACCCTGTCTTGAAAAACAAAACAAAACAAAACAGAAATGGAGAGAGAGAGAGAGAGAAAGAAAGGGCGTCTCATTTTGTTTGCCGAAGCTGGTCTCTTGGCTCGAATAATTCTCCTGCCTCAGCTTCCCATACAACTAGCAACGTAGACGTGTGTCACCACACCTGAGTCCACTCCATTTACTCAGGGCTCGCCCAGCGCAGCAGGTGCCGTGCTGGAACCGTTGTCTGTGACCTCCCTGCCTCAATTCTCCTAAAGGTTGGTTTGTTTTTGTTTTATGCATACAGACGTTTTGCCTGCACATATGTCCCTGTGCCACATGTGTGCCTGGTACCCACAGAGGCCAGAAAGGGGCTTCCTCTCCCCATGTAACTAGACTTACAGACAGTTGTGAGCCACCATGTGGGTGCTGAGACTACAACCCGGGTCCTCTGGAAGAATAGCCAGTGCTCTTAACGGCTGAGCCATCTCCCCAGCCGCCCTCCCCCAGATACCCTTCTCAAAGCAAGGTCTTGAGGGCTCTGATGTCACCCATCTCTCAGATGAGGGCACAAGCATAGTGAGGGTCACTGACTCGCCCAAGGTTACTTTGCAAGTGTCAGAGAAAGGACACAAGCCACCACCACCCTGTGTCCCTTGGGACGTGGAGGCAGAGCTAGGCCCAGAGTAGCAGTGGCTCCAGGTGACCCAGAGCTTGATGGCTTTAGGGCTTCCTGAGACTCGGAACTGGAGACGGGACATTGACGCGCAGATGGAGATTGGCTGCAGTGTGCTCAAGATGAGGCTTCCTGCTGTGGGTTGGGGAGCTTGAGAAAGACCAGTTTTGCAGGCCTGGTGCCTCCGTCTATCAGATCTGGATGGAGGCCCCAAACTTTGCATATCACAAGTCCCACCTCTTGCTAAGAACATCAGAGGCTTTCAAACACAAAACAAACCCCCACGGGTGTGTTACTCTGGATGTGTCAAGGCATGCCGAGTACAGTCAGAAAAGCATGGGGGGTGGGGGGGGAGGACTAAGAGAGGAGGGTGGGACAGTCTTTTGAGAAGTCCAGGCAGCTTTCCTGGCACCTGATGGTATTTTGGAAAGGTGCGTGGGGAAGAGCATTCCAGGGCTGGAACAGCTATGTGGGGTGTGGCTTGTGTGGAAAGCTCCGGCCTTCTGCAGCCCCAAAGGTCGGTCCTCTCTGAGATGCCACTCTGGATCCTGACAGTGAGCCCCCGGTCCAGTGGCCTCAGGGACTTTGCAGACCCCTACCCACCTGGCCTCAGACCTTTCCTCTCTCCCCATCCTCCAGGTGAACCACCGAAATCCGGGGAACGCAGCGGCTACAGTAGCCCCGGCTCTCCCGGGACCCCCGGCAGTCGCTCCCGCACCCCATCCCTACCGACGCCGCCCACCCGGGAGCCCAAGAAGGTGGCAGTGGTCCGCACTCCCCCCAAGTCGCCCTCCGCCAGTAAGAGCCGCCTGCAGACTGCCCCTGTGCCCATGCCGGACCTGAAGAACGTCAAGTCCAAGATTGGTTCCACTGAGAACCTGAAGCACCAGCCAGGAGGCGGGAAGGTAAGGGCGTGGCCGGCCTTGTAGGATGCCGTGCAGCCTGGAAACCACCCCAGATGCGTGGCTCCCACAGTAACCAGAGTTGGCTCTCCCCCCCCCCCCCCCCCCAAGGAGCACACAGGCCACCAAAAACTGGCTCCTTTCTTCAGCCTCGCTAATTGGACAGGTGGCCAATGATGGGACCCACCGATGATGCCCTATGGATTTTGATGGGTACCACCCTCATTTGGCTTGGCCTTTGCCCTTGGTTCTGGGGAAATTAAGGTTTTAATTCGAGGAGCTGCTTCTATGACTGTTTATGAAATTTCTAGGCCTCTGGCCCTGAGGCTCCCGGAGCCCCTCCCCTCCCTTGCTTTCCCTCTGAGAGTCTATCAGGCTGACTGACATGTCCTGCAATAGAGACTGTGGGCGTCAGCAGGCACGACTCCCCCGAGTTTCCTCTGTGAATCCCTGAAGTGTCTTCAGGAGTCCCAGTCTCGTAGGAGGACACTAGCCCTGTGGGATTAGGGTCACCCTACTGACCTCATTTCAACACTGCCGTTGCTCTAAAGGCCTTATCTCTAGACACAGCCACATTGTGAAGTTGGGGTGCCAACATATAAATGAGGGAACTCACAGTATGGCCCCTCCCCACCCGGCACAGGAGTGAGGGGGTCAGATGTGGAGTAGGAAGCTGAGACCTATTCCTGAGTCTACTGTCTTTGCCTTCCGGGCTAGCTGCTTTTGGGACAGCACACTCCTGAGGTGCTAAGGAGCTCCTCAGAGTTTAGGGCCAATGGCCCCTCCCCATCAGCACAGTGAACACTCCCCACTGCTCAATTCGTTGGGGCTAGTCACCAGAGGGAAGTTGGCTTTAGCCCCTTCGGGCACCTTCCCAGAACCCTGTGTTTTGCTGGGGAGCCCTGGGCCCCCTTCGGCTGTATACGGTGTTTTTGTTCAGCATCTGGCTAAAGCACATAGCTCGTGTCACTCTCTTCTCCAGGCTAGAGGCTCAGTGCTATTTCTCACTAATGTCACTGCCTTGGACCACTGGCTTGGTCCAAGATTGTGTTAACTATCCTCAGAGTCACCTGTGCTTTCCTGCCCCCAAAGATACTTCCTTTCCTCCTCCAGAAGGCACGCCTTTACTCCCAGCACTCGGGAGGCAGAGGCAGGTGGATCCCTGTGGATTCGAAGCCAGCCTGGTCTACAGAGTGAGTTCCAGGACAGCCAGGGCTCAGGGCTCTTGTTACACAGACAAACCCTGTCTTGAAAAACAAACAAATACAAACAAAAGAAAGAGGAAAGGAAAGGAAAGGAAAGGAAAGGAAGGAAGGAAGGAAGGAAGGAAGGAAGGAAGGAAAGAAAGAAAGAAAGAAAGAAAGAAAGAAAGAAAGAAAGAAAGAAAGAAAGAAAGAAAGAAAGAAA